AATGCTGGCGTGTGACGCAAACAAACTGTTCGGAATTTCCTACGCATTTTCTCCATTTCTATTCGACTCGTGGTCCGGTGTCCACTTTCGTCTTTAAGCAGCACCGTCACGAGATAGTACAATAGCAATACTTTCCCACAGCATTCGCGCATGTGTGTATGTGTGTTTGGCAGGTGTTTGCGTGTAGGTTATCAGATAACTCAGCTAAAGCAGTGTAATTTTTTGGATATGGTTTTTATCAAGTGCATGAAATATCAAGATATTCACACACTAGCCTGCTAATCCGTTACTACAAAAATCGTGTATGTGCTGCCGTTTATTTGCATAAACCCAAAATTTATCATCTCTTGCGTTACGTTCCGGATTACACAAAAATTTTCAGTCCCCTTTCCCTCCTCATCGCCCATACTCTTCAGCGACTTTTACTCAAATTTTTGTCAACATTCTGCTAATCCACGAAAAACACAACAACGAGGATGATTTTTCGTCCCATTGCTATAAAAACAGACCAGTGGCTAGCAAATGCTACTGACGAACAGGATGTTGACTGCCGCGGCGCTTCTTTTCGCTTGCGCTGCTGTCATCCCAGTAAGTACCATTCCTCCTACTGCTCGCACATCAGGTAACTATTCCTCGTTCTAATTCGGAATCCTTAAACTACGTACAACTTGGCCAGAGCAGTTTCTCGAGTTTTACATGGTTATGTCGCACGCAGTGCAATGCAAATGTTGAATTCTTTTTCCAAATTCTGACCCTTACTCGAAATGAAGGATCCTGGAGCTGTGCAGGTAAAATGCGTTGACTGAGTTATCACATCATTGCAGATGCTGTGGCGCGAGTTGATTTATCTGTCGATACTGAACTCGGGAGTGAAGACAGTTCCGATGACTCGGTAATGGGAAATTTTGTAATAATCCAAGCTTATGATGAAAGCAATGGGATGCTTAAGCACCAGTGACTTGAACTGGAGTCCTGGAACACCATACAAAACAGTGACCCCACATAAGGGTCATTTGTTCGTCCCATGGCTATTCGGATAATTCATGGGTTTGTCATCCCTTGTGTCCAGTCGCGGTCAAAGGTTAAAGCAACTGGATCAGGGTTTGAAGATATTCGATTTGTCCTCAAATGCATCGTCGCTTTTTTTTTTCAAATTCATAAATCCTGTTCTTTTCTGTGAAGGATCCAGTGAATTCTGAATAACAACGAAAATTTCGGACGTTCTGTTCCAGTATATTGCTAGAATTTTCCAGGTGATTACAGATGGCAGTGATATCGAGGCTTTGGCGGATGAAGCGATCGCTGGCATCCTTGGCATCAGTCCGGAGCAAATGAAAATGGAGGACGATACAGACGATGATTCGGATTTCATGATTGAGCCACTGTTTAGTGACGAAGATGAAGAAGCAAGAGCAGAAGACGGTAGTGATGAAAGCGAATATGATGAAGGAATTGCACCTGAGGAAGCGAGAAAACACATCAAGATAATTGGTATTTTTCAATGGTACCTAAAAGCTTCAAAGAAAATGTGTGAGCGTATTGTGGCGGTCCTATTTTTTTTGTCATTTGTGGCATTCAGTTGTCTCCGAATTCATCCTTCTTCTTTTCTGTCTAATTTAGCATCGTGCTATCAATTTTTGCAGATCTTTTCGCTAAAATCTGTGCCCCTTCGTTCGAATCTACCCTCACCAGTTATCCACACCGAAGGAATGATTCTGGCCCTTTTTTTCTCACGCTATATCCCCAATTTAATAGGTATTAAAAGGCGAATTGCCACACACAGCCAAAACGAAAGCCGAGATGGACTGTACCTACACATCATTACTTTTCTCAGAAAGAACAGCGAAATCAAGATTCCTCGTGGATAAAACGTAGCCAGCACTGAGACAGCTGCGCATCAGGCGTGTTGGTGCGACCATCCGTTTCTGCACTGAACTTAATGAAGACAGATCGTTAGTATGTGTGGTTGCTGCTTTTGAGTTTAACGAGTAGACTCATATTTTTGGAACTGTGGCCTTTTTTCGGATGCAAGGGA